AATATTTATCTGATTTCAAAACATGTTTTAGCTTATGCTTTATAATCTTAAACCGCTTTTATTATTATTTTTAACGAGAATTGCAACGTCGTGAAAACGTGTCTCGAACCACGTCACATAAATGCACCCGTAGTTGTTGACACATTCCGACTTCGTTGAGATTTGGATTTAGGTCACATAAATGTGCACCCGAGTTTTACGAAAGTGAATTATTAAAAGCGTGTCTAAAGTGTCTAACGCATTATTATCTTTGGGGAAGGCCATAAAATTCGCTAAACGGCCCATCCCAAATTCTAAGTATTTTAATATATACATTTGTCGAGGGCCCCGCAATTTATGTGTTTTTGTTTAGCGAGGCTCATCTCATTTATTATTTAAAGGTCCAACCTAAAGTAAACTATGATTTTCTATTTAATATTGTCTCTAAAGGCCCTAATTAATTAGTATATCTAAAAGGCCAAATCCTTATGATTCAGTTTTCAATCAACCCAGCTCAGTAATTTATGAATTAAAGACAAAGCGGATTTAGCAATTCATTCAAAACATAAAGGATTGGACAGTCTAGGCCTATTATTGCGGAAGCCAGGCCCAAGAGCATTGTTCAAATTTAGTTGTGCAGCTGGACAATAGCTGTCTGGGCCTCACGTTTGAGCCCAAAATCAGGTGTTGAATTAAGACGAGGCCCAATACTGATTATAGCACAAAAAGTGAACTCAACAACATGCACACCTATATTCTATTAGTTGATGCCTAAAATTGTCCAAGAGGTCAATTATGCAATTAGAAATTTCGAAGGCAACCTGTGAAATGCTTAATGACAACTTCAGAATCTTACTTGACTAGGCTTGTGATTTTATTATTTGTGAAGTAACGTGCCAAAAGTCGAGTTCAAATCCAGTATCTAACCTAACAAATTTATACATGCTTAACAATTATAATACACATGTTATACTTTTTACCTAGTTAACATGCAAACTCAAATGATCAACTATCTCCGAACTCAATGCTTTCGTCCTACTGGAACTCAGGTCCGTCCAAAACAGTTCAGTAAAGTTATTTTTTAATTATAGAGTGAAAATGAGAACAACCACCAAAGGATCTATCACGTTTCTGAGTCACTTGTTAAACAAATTTATGAAACGGTTGACAGGAAATCAACTAAAGCTAACAGGAACTTATTCAGTTTAATTACAACTAGTACTCTACTACTAAAAACTCATACACATCTCTAAATACACGAACACACGCCTAATGGTTCAAATGAACACACTCATGCTTAAGAGTTCATCACTTCAATACAGTCCATTACAAATTAAGGGTTCAACCAGTCCAAATTACTTTTTAAAAAAAAAGTCCTAATTACAATCCAAATCATTACAGTCGATTATAATGAAAATATTGCAACAACTGAAGCTTCTAATGAAATTATGCTTCCATTTCATTTCATTTCAGCTGAAATTCTACATGATGTTGAGATTCAGAACATGTACCTGAAATTTGAAATATAACGAGAAGAAGGAGAGATCAGCAACAGGAGTTATAAATCAGTAATGTTAACCACAGCAACAGGAGCAAATTTCAATCCAAAAACAACTTCACAAACACCCAGAGATGAACCAGCGAGTGACAAAACCCAATAAAAGACTACAACAGCTCATTTAAACCCCAAATTTACTCGAATTTAAACCCAGCAAGTTTTTGAAACTTCCACAACCAGAAATCGAACTAGAAGATGCAACTCAACACCTAAAATTTGAAATTGATCTAAGGTAAATGAATGCAACAGTAATTTCTGATTTTATATTGCTTTTCTTCTATTTTTGGTTTTTTGAAGACCTGGATTTTGAAATTCAAATTTCTGTTTTGAAACTTGAAGAACACTTTGGGGGAATTTTTGGGGTTCAAAAACTTGTTCTCTAAGGCATTGGCATGCCTTTTTATAGGCAAAATGAGGGCAGCCTTCAGATTTTCAGTTTTCTTTTTTTAGTCCTTCTTTATTTACTCATTTAACCCCTTGTTTTCTGACTTGTGACACAAGTTACTGCACTAAAATTTCTGAAAGTTAAACTAAGGCCCTATTCTAGAAGGGTCTAGGGAATTCTAGCTGTATCTACAACATTTCTCTACATGGGAATACCTAAACTACCCTTCATTCAATCCCAAATATACTGAATTGTCCTAACTAATACCTCAGCCCCTCTTTATCCTTGTTAAATTCACCTATAGTCAAACTAAATATCTCTAATTCAGCTATAACCAAATCAATATAAACTAAACCTAAGAAACTAATTAANTTCTTTTCTTTTGCCTTAGCTTTTCCTTGTTCCTATTCGCTCCTTTCCTCAAAATTATTTTTCCGCTCTTTTCTTTCCTATGCTCCCTTTTTATTTTCTCTTGTTTGCTTTTGTTTGGTTTCATATTTTCCTTCCCTCTTTTGTTTTTCTTTCCTTTCTTGTTTTTCACCTCATTCCTTTCATTCTTTTCTTGTTTTTCCTTTTTTTTGATTTAGTTACGGTCGAATCCTATGGAGATTGCCTACGTATCACGACCCTGCATGAATCAGACCGAGCGTAGTTCTTGCAAATTGAATGCAAAAATAAAGGGATAATTTTGGGATTTTCAAATTTCATTAATAAACGCCGAGTACAAGAGATATTAGACTATTTATTTTCTTGAAGGGAAACTACAAAAGCAGACTCAAAATAACAAAATACAGACTCGATGATTAAAAGCTAGATCAAGGGTGCATCAAAGCTTCACATCCTGGGGCCCGCGGGGCATCACTCGGCATCGCCGCAGGCCTGCGCAAGACTGAGAAGGTTTCCATGTCAAGTGTGACTATTTAAAGAAATTGGCCATGTAATGGCTTATTTTGACTTACAAAGCAAAGTGGCTAGTTTTGAAAATTTTATTTAAGGAAATCAAAGACTCGGTTTTGCGAATACGACCTTACAGCACTACCGCAAGGGAGATTTTCAGGCTGTGCCCACAAACCGTTTACAAATGACTCAAGGTGGCTTGTTCTTGCAAAACGGCCTTCCGGCGCCCTTTTGAGGGACATTCGGCTTATTTTTAACAAGAATGGTGTCACCCGACTTATTTTGACAACCATTTAAGATTTTGACATTATTTGGCTATTTTTGAAAAGGGATGGTTGGACGCGATGAGGGTTGCCTACGTATCTCACATCCGGTGAGAATCAAACCTGCGTAGTTCGGGCAAATAAACCTAACTATTTTTGAAAACAAGACTCTTTCGTTTTTGTTGGTAAGTACACTAGTTCTGAAAGCAAGATTTTTTTTTATATTTTCTTTTTCAGTGGCAAATAAACAAACTAATTTGAAAATACAACTCTTTTTTTTGTTCTTCTTTTCCATTGGCAAACAAAACAAACTAAAAAAAACTTTTATTTATCCTTTCATTTTTCTCAAAAATCCGGCAGAGTTTCGACACTATTATGACATAATTGACTTTCTACACTGCTATTTCTCTACAAACATTGGCTACATTAGGTCCAAACATGTACTAAAATCAGACAACAGATAAAGCCAAATACAACAATATATCTAAGCTCGAATTCTGAACCCTGAACCGAAGTTCTGGGTTCTTCTGCCCAGCAGAGTCGCCAGAGCTGTCACACCTCCTTTTTACTACACCCCCAAAAGGGTGTAAAGGAGTTTTTTCACTTAAAGGACAATCGAAACGGGATTTATTATTAAAAATCAGAGTCGCCACTTGGGAGATTTATGGTGTCCCAAGTCACCGGTTGGGGAACCTAGGGTTTTGGACGGAAATTTCAAATTGATATTCGGGAGGTTCCGTTTAGGTTCGAGGGACGAGGTTTGGGGGGTTTTAAAGAGGAGGTCACGGCGGTTCTGCGGTGTTAATTTGATGGGAAACGGAGAAAGTTGAGTTCTGGCCGGAAAACTTCGACTTATGATTCGAAGAGTTCGGTCAGTGTTTGAAGGAAATGGCTTGGGTATTTGGGATGAGGGAGTTGAGGCGAGTCTATGGTGTTCATGGGGCGGGATTTGGACGCCGGCGCCGCCATTAATGGCGGTGGAAAATGAGGGCGACGTCGTTAGGGTTTCTGATTAAGGGTGAGTGAGGGAGACGAGACGGGGTATGGGGGGGGGGGGGTCGATTGGGGCAGTTAAATATCAGCGACTAACCTATTCTGAGCCGTTGATTTGATCAACCTCGACGGCTGGGATTGCTTGACGCCAAAACGATGTCGTTTTGAGTCTATCGGGGTAGGCCGGGTTTGGTGAGATGGGTTTGGGCCAGGGATGATTTTTGGGCTGGGTAATTCAATTAAATGGTCCAAATGTGGTTTATTATTAAGACCACCTATTTTAATTGCTTTCTCCTTCTTTTTTATTTAATTTTGTTTTCCTTTTGGTATTTTCTGATTTTATAAAATTGCAAAAATTAAAGTAAAGACCTAATATATTTTCAAAGTTAATCTAATCAATTCCTAAAATTGTTTAAAATCTATTTTGTGACAAATTCAACAATTAACAACTAAAGATGCAAAAGTAGACTATTTTTGTTATTTTCTTCATATTTTGTTCTAAAACCACTTAACCAGTAATTGATCCTAAAATATGAAATTAGATCCTAAATGCAAATGTCAAGCTTACTTTTATATTTTCATATGAACAAAAATGCACAAATAAAATGCAAACAATTATTAGAAAATAACACAAAAATTCACAAAAATTGTAAAAATAAAGAAAAAATCCTTTTGTTTGAATTTTTTTGGGAACAATTCATATAGGGCAAAAATCACGTGCTTTTAAAATTCAGGTCTTCAAAAAACCAAAAACAGAAGAAAAGCTATACTTGCGGGATACTTGCGTACGGTTGAATAATTCAAAGTTGTAAGAGAGCTGTCACACCTGGAATCTTTATCAGCCATATTTAGCATAGAAGCAACCAAAAGCATAGAGCAAACACATCAGAAGAACAGCGGAGAATCTTCTGGATGTCTGGAGGAAATGGTTCCTGATGGAACAATTGTTTCTATCAAAGATGTCGACCAACATATGTATGTTGCAGTTGATAGGGCAGAAAGTGGCTACAATTTAGTTGGTGCGATCCACTATTCGCTTGTGGGAGAGAGGGCTTTGTTCAGGGTGAAGTATCACCATATTAGAGGATGGAAGTCACAAGTTCAGTATTTATCCTTCATCTCATTATATGCCAAAGATGAATCAGGAGAACCATTGCGGTTGAATTGCTGTCGACAATCTGATTTTGTTGACATTTCCAGTTCTAGTGATAGTGCCTGGGCACTTTGGAGAGCGCTTCCGTACAAATATGACATCTATGATGGTGATGTTGACTTAGAGACATATCTTCCACAAACTAAAAATATATTTTATCTTGTGAACAAGAAGAATGATTGTGCTTTAGCTTTTGTTAATGGGGTCCTGGAAGTTGTCAGCAATCCTGGACACCCGTTTAAGTTTAAAGTATTTCATGATCCTTCTCCATATGTGAGCAATGCTTTTTTGGATGGCATTCTAGAGAAGGAATCTGGAAAAATCATGCTACTTGATTCATGTATAAGTGAGGGAAAAGGTCTGAGTCCGCAAGGAAGTTCATTTGGTGTAACTGTGTCAGTGGACAAGGTTTCTTTGACCATCGTTCATGAACTTTCGGACTCCAAGGAAAAGTATCCCCTCCTACAGGGTTCTATTAGTACTACTCAAGTTGTTATACAGATATCAAACGCTAAAGTTCGGGTTATGAGCAGGCTGGAGATTTTGCTGTATTACTTTGACTCCCAGAAAAATATGTGGTGAGTCTCTATAGTAAAATAATGTAAATTAATGCAAGCTTTCATCTTTCTCTTTGATATTGTATTTTAGAACCGATGGTCCCAATATGTTGTAATTTGTGTTACTCACTTGTTTGTGATGCCAGGAGAGAACTCATGCATCCATTAGAAATTGATGTTTTCTACCGTTATAGATTTCAGACCCAGGGATCAGAAAATATTATCCACTGGGTGCCTGGCCATTTCTATGCTAGATTGAGAGAGGTCAGATTAATATCTCTACTTTTCATGTGGTTTTCTTTTCTTTTTGAGAATAATCATGTGATTTTCTTTTCTTGTTGATATTTCTGGCTTGGCAGTTGAGTATGACAATGACTGAGCTTTCTGTGGACATTATTCTCTTTGTCATTGGGGAGTTGAATCTGGCTGGTCCTTACTCTGTAAGGATCTCGACAATTTTGGCCAATTGCTGCAAGGTTCTTCTCTGACATAGCTACTCATGCTGCATACACTCTGTGGCTTTGCAAACTTTATCTTGCTTGAAATGTTTTATATTCACTTGCCATAAGAGAATCCCCTCTTGTTAGAACCAAAACATAGGCTAGCATAGCTATTTCAGCTGCATGTCTAAAGATTCTGTCATCATTTATTGGTTATGAAGTCCTAACACAATTTTTATTTGGAGTTCTGCTGCAAGAGAAATCGGATTCCTACATGGAATTAGTGAGTGAAAGTTTTCTGCTAAAATTCGAGATGTGAATGATAAAACAGTAGTCAAATTACATTACTTGGTAGCAATTGAGAAAAGATGGGTTCTGAGAGTAGCAGCATTGTCTTTCCGCCCTTGTAAGATGTTTGGCACATTTAATTGGTATTTGGATTAACAATGCACATAACTTTGTGGACCCACTTTAGCAGGAAAGATGCTGCTTCTGGCTTGACTTATGGCTGTAAATATATGCCCAGTATGATGCATCTCAATTTAAGCGCTTGAAGCAGTTAGGCGTTGAATGTTAGGTTGACCACATTGGGACTTAATTTACTCAAAACTTATCAACTAACCTAAATATGTGAGCCGGAGATAAGTGATTTATCTATGCATCTTTACATTGATTAGGATAAGCTTTGCTTTTCGGTCCCATGTTATGGATGATTTCTTCAGCAATGGAACATCTCGGGAACTTCTTCTACCAGTAATCTGTCATCCTTATTTTGATTTGCAACAATTGCCTGTTTTACCTGCTACATGAAATCGTGCTGTTAGTTTTGGTGAGGAAATCAAAGACTGAGAATTGGACATGAGTCCATCTTCATGCTCTTTGAGGCTGAATATTAGACATCTAACCTTGTGAAGCTTGTATTTGTCCATTCATGAGAAAAGTCACGTAGAGACTATAAATCGTCTAGTGTTTCATGTGCGAACTGATGGGTTTTAACATTTTCAGGTTGAAAACCAGTCAGGCTTATCCCTTATTTGTCAGTTCTACGATAATCAAGATGTATCAGTTGCAGGAAGAAACTCCACTACCATTTTCTTGAGGTGCTTATCACAGCTTACAGTTGTTCTGCTTGTTTACTTGAAACACCCGCTGTTATGATTCAGTGGCAGAACCATCCTTGTAGAGCAAATCAACAGCCTTTAAAGAACTACAGAACTTGACCTACTGATATAT